CCCCTGAGAATCGAGATTCGAGTTTTGGACCTCCCAGCCACCAGCGAGCCGCGACTCTCCTCTCGAGCGCGATCTTCCTGCAAAATCCCCCAAAACGCAGGAATATCAAGAGACAGAGCACGGGTCCACGCGGCTTCTGGCACCCTCCGCGTGTGCGGCCCACTGTGTGCTACAGAGCAGTTGCGCACTGCCGCCGCGACACCAACGGGACGGATGGCCTGACATCTCATTAGTGAGACAAATTGCTTCACCTACGTATGCGAGAGCGCGCCCTATAGATAGATTCGTCGGGCGTATTTAGACGTCGTCGACGAGGTGTGCAGCAGCTCGGGAGCTCGAGTCTTCGCGCGCTGCCTATAGACGCGTGAAGGTGAATGTCAGTGTAATGGGTGCACGTGCAGCGCGAGCGAAGCAGAAAGATCGGAGAAAAGGACGATCATGGACCGCGACATAAGGCATTTGGGCATTCGGATGCTGCAGACGTGGGCAGAGCTACGATGTCCTTGCACATGTAGCTTAATACGGAGCCTGCCGGCACGGGGAGTGGGGGGAGTGGGGGTGGGAGGCAAATGTATTAGGGCTCGCATAGCTAAACTAATTGGTTAAATCTGTTGGGCCGCATAACTGGGAGGCTAATTGGGTGATTTCCTGACAAATTATATCCACCCTGACGACTACGCCTCTTCGGTACCGGGCCCGTTTGTCACTTGACACTTTGAAAAGGCAGCAACGCGCGCGCAACGACGCAGATGACTAGCCAACTGAACGACCCAAGAGCGGAACAACCAAAAGTATTCTTTCGTATTCGCCTTGGCGCGCTCTCGCTCGCTCGCATCCCACGGACCCGAACCGAACGGCGACTGTCTTTACCAAAAGGACACGTGGCGCAGATAGCGAGCCGGCCCAGGGAAGACTTGCTAGGTGTCTAAGCTGTGTCATTACAGCGGTGGGCGGCCAAGGAAAACCGAAGCCTAGCGTGTATAATAGACTCGCCGAGCATCGGGGCGCCCCGGACGAAAAGATCCCGCGGGCGACATGCCGGGCAAGGGCTGTTCCGTATCTCCTCGTCCTGGTGGATCGGATCGCAGTTAGGGAAAGCAAGGAGGAGGGAATCTTTTAATTTGACGCACCATAAAGCACCAGTGCCCGGTGCCACGGTCCTTGCCACGGTCCTTGCCACGGTCCTTGCCCCGGCATAGTGTGACAGTTGGTACCTATACATCGGAGCTAGATATAATATTGGTGGACCCCAAGGGAGGTCATGGGTGACACCACTGCGTGTCGTATCGCTGCAATAATAACGCGTAAGCGATACCCAACCCTGTATCCTGCGCTCACCCTCCTCTCCTGCATATTCGCCTAACTGCCCCCGACTGCCTGACTGCCTGACTGCCTGACTGCCTAACACACCGTCGTCTTGTCCTACCCGCGCGAGCTATCTGTGTTCATACTGTGTTCATCTCTATACGCAGCTACACGCGCACGTGTGCGCCTCCGTGGATGCTCGCGTATAATCACCTCCTTGGGGTCCCATTCGCTCTTTCGCACACTGTCTTCTGCCTTCTGCCTTCTGCCTTCTGTCCTGTGTCCTCCTCCTCCTCCTCCTCCTCCTCCTCCCTTTCCTTTCTAACCTTCTTCTTCTCTTTCACTGCACGGGACCCGCCCGTCAGCTTCGTCAGGACCAAGAATGGCACCGAGAGAAGCAGAAGTAAAAGTGGCGGCGAAACGGAAGAAACGTCGAAGGGCGCGACGGGAACTGCGTGCCGAAGCCGCGAATCTCGATATATTGTAATACGCTTTCACCAATTCTTCCCGACTACGTCCGTCCACTCGTCTATACCTGCCTGACTGCCTATTTGCCTAGAACTGCCTCGTGTCCCTTAATTGGCCAATTATTACGTACGCTAGGCGTGTCCGGAGAAGCGTGAAACTTTGGGGTCCCCGGCTCCACCGAGTGACAAACGCAACTTCTGTGATAAATATCTTTTGGCGAGCGAAGGGTCGCCGGCGCACAGCGACGTAAGGGGAAGAGAGGCGCACGGGATCGAAATCAGAATCGAGAGAGTTCGGACTGGCGCAAATTGGTCACGGCTGGTCTATTCCAACTCCCGTTAGCGCCCGTTAGCTCTCCGCCCTCCACCCGACTCCACTGGTCGCCGCAGCCGACACTATTACGAATTCCCAATTGACAGTCCTTTCTTCCAGCTAGTCACCTGCTCCGTCGATCGCGCTTCCCTCCTCCTCGGATTACTTCCGTTATACTATACATGGAATATGGAATTGGTTCCTCTTCCCCCAATCCCCCCTTCTCACTCTCTCTCTCTCTCCCCCCCCCTCCCCCTGGTTCTCGTCTCCTCGTTGCTCAAACTTCGCGTCGTTCAACGATTATTTGTCGTTTGACCGCAGACAAATCTGCCGTCTCGCGAATTTCCTAAATTGTTCGGCTCTTTGTGAAACCGTCAATTACTTAAGTGCTCGAGTAAGCACTACGTAGCTTCATTCACGAATCAACAGAAATGATTGCACGTAGAAAAATGTATAGTATAGTTGCGAGCGTTATAGAGCAATGGGAAACACGTCAGTATATTGCGAAAAAGCAAGTTTCAGTGACAGTGATAACAACTCTGGTACGACTGATGGTGCAATTTAACCCTCGTACACTCCTTGGGTGACGATATCTCATCTATTTTCGAATTTTAATTATTCTGCTTAGCTGAATTTACACATCAGAGGATCGGCCGTCAATTTGTTTATTCGACGCAAGGTCTAACGTCAAAAATAAAATATTTTAAATAAATGAACGTGTCACACGATCGATGTTTCGGTGAAACTTCACTCATACAGTACATACAGGTACGTTGATAGTGCTGCTGCTACAGTTGAAAATAACATGTATATTGGTGCGATCTACCTATACGCTGCCCATTTTCAACATCTGGAGTCGAGCATAAGCTAATCCAAATAAGCAGAGCGATCTCAATACTTTTTTTTAGATTTTTGCGGCTGGAGTCGACTCCGCAGAAAGTAAGATTAGGGGGTCCGAACGATCGGACTCGCGTGAAGGAGACAAGGGTTGCTATTCATTATTTTCCTACACGTAAATATTGAAATTTCTCCAACAATCATGTGAAATCAGTAAAATCTTGTAATATGCGCCAATAAAGTGAATTGAAGTTCTATGTAATGACATAGTCATTGATTCGTTGCAAAATACGATTGGGTGAAATATCATGCATAAGAATGTTATGTGTAAATATTTTTAAGGGACGTATGAGGATTCATAGTATCGCTGAAAATCCAACTGTGTAATTCCTTATTCTTTTTATGGTAGGGACACTTGCAAGTGTGTAAAAAGTGACCAGCACAGAAAGGATAGGTAATAAGTAATAACCTAACTTAATAACTAATAACTAATAACGTAACAACACAGTTGGATTTTGAGTGATCGTTTTGAGTGGGACGATTGCACCAGGCATTACTCAGGAAAATGGGCTGATTCTCGAGTATCCACACGAGTAAAAAAATAATATTTATAAAAATATTATCATTTCTCGTGCGTACTTCGAAGCTATAGGAGGGCAGAAGCACCTACACGTGGTCTCGCTGATCCGTTAACGATGACAATAAGTCATTGCATTGAGGAGAGAGAACAGTTGCCCGATTTCTTCGTAAAACTCAGACGCGGATCTTGGACGTCGCATCAAATGAATGCAGCGCGGAGCGTCGAGTTTCGATGTGAACGAACGCTTAAGGGTGAGCAGGAAGATCCTATGAGAACGTACATTGGCGAATGAAGATGGGAAAGGTGGATAGTGGTGGCGACGGTACCGGTGACAGAGGGAAGACGACGGTGAATCTGACCGCGACGTTGGACGAAGGGGTGTGAGAGAGAGAGAGAGAGAGAGAGAGAGAGAGAGAGAGAGAGAGAGAGAGAGAGCAAAGGAATAGAGGAACGCGAGGTGGGAGAGGGTCGCGCGTGCGCTACACTCCCTTTCTCCGCGCTCAGCTCTATGCACGTGAGAGTGAGTTACCCTTGCGGGCGGAGGGTGCACCGGGCTGCTGGAGCTGATTGGTCCAGACTCGGGAGTTTTGGTAACAGCGCGACGCAACTCCGCCCATTCGAGGCGGGACGATTTCTATGTGCCAGTCTCAACATTCTCTGCCTAATAATACACGATATACCACCTATTCAGTAGCCACCATGGTTATAGCATCTACGCGGCGAGAGCTACACTACCGAGTAGTCGAGCATTTTGACTCGCGCATCCCACGCTAACGAACCCAGGCGATCTCGTCAAAGGATCCTTTGGACACTCCTCGGACGCGCACAGTTGACGCACAGTTGACGTACTAGTGACGCATAGGTAACATACTACGCTAACGAACCCAGGCGATCTCGTCAAAGGATCCTTTGGACACTCCTCGGACGCGCACAGTTGACGCACAGTTGACGTACTAGTGACGCATAGTTTTACTCCTTACCTCACCTCTCCTCTCCTCTCCTCTCCTCTCCTCTCCTCTCCTCTCCCCTCCTCTCCTCTCCGCTCCTTCCTTTCCACTCCTTTCTTACCTTCCTCCTTGTCTTTTATTCCGTTACATGACCGTCACTCAGTTTTGATCGGACGATTTCTGCGTCACACGTCATTCTTGGTTTTGCCGGTTCTGTGAAAACCCTTTCTTCACAGAGATCACTTGCGAAGAAGAATGTGCTTGGATTATCTTGGCGAATCGTGCGATTCGCGTAGCCTGTGCGACCATAGTGACTCGTAGGATTCTTAGTGACGGGAGTTATTGATGGTGCGTGTCAAGTGCACGCGATCAGCGTACCTCTACGGTTGGGAAAGGGGGACTAAGTGGACAAGGCCCACAGGTGACCCTTCCAGGCTGGACATCGCGATCCGCCAGGATTCGCCGATTGGTCGTCTCGTCGTCTCGTCAGGATAGAGCTGTGACCTGCCATGGGAAAAGAGGCCGCCGTCCGATAGGCGAACGTCTCCGTAATGTGGAGGACGCAGGAAGGCAGCAGGGCAGCCACAGCCGCCACAGCCGCCGCATCGGAATCGTCCTTCGCGGAATTCGATTCGGGCCAAGTGCTCGAGGACAACGAGAACGCGAGACGCGCCGCACTCCGGGAGAGGAGGCACGTGCTGCTCCACGTTCGCGCGAGCGAGGCCTTCCTTCGTTGCGAACAGGCGACAGGTCGCGCGTCGGCTGCTCCTTCTCTGTTTCTTTCGTCCTCCTCCTCGTCCTCGTCGTCGCCGCTTGCGCTACCGCTACCGTTTCCCCTGGCTGTTCGTCTGCCCCTGCCACTCGCGCTCCCCATGCCCCCCACCCCCATGGACAACGGATCCCCGGACGACGTCGACCCACAGCATCTCATGGACCAAACGTCCCGGCGAACCACGCCGCTTCCATCGGAATTCTTTGGCGAACACGAGAGCGAGCGCGAGCGCGACTGCGAACCTCACCACCGTCAACGTTATCACGATTCTGCTCCTTCTTCTCCTTCTCCTTCCCGTCCCCTTTCTTCTCCTCCTCTGCCGCCTCCACCTCCGCCTCCTCCTCCTCCTCCTCCTCCTCCTCCTCCTC